ATAATAGGCCAAATCCCCACCAGTGACGAAATTTATCTTTTTCCCTCATTCTTAAATAATCTTTTTCTCCATCTCAACTCAAATAAGCCCCTGTCCCATGGTCTTTATTAGCAGCTTTATTCAGAGCGCATGTTCTCACCAGAAATAGGTGCAAAAAGTCCCCAAAGCGACCACCTCTTGCTGCCTCGAGGCCTCCTCCGATGAGAATCAGAGTGAGGCAGCCTCTTGAAGAGTTGCTGGAACCAGAGCCACCTGCACAACTACGTCGCCAGAAACCGCCAAGTCCCGAACTACTCAGCATGGTGGCATTCAGGTCGGCTCGAGATCCAGAAAGACCTGCTATTTTGTAGCTTGCCTGGGACGGCTGTAGCGGTTGCTGTTGACGAAAATTATTATTTTGCTCAAACGCCCGAGAAACTCCTGTTGATGTAGCCCTGGAGCGATTAAACCCAAGTTCATCTACTTTGGCGAACGAAAAAACTTGTTTGGATGCCTCTCTGTAGGTAGGGGTTGACGAATCCAAAGCCAAGGTGACTGGCAGACTCTGTGATGAGGATATGTGTGGGGCCATCTGAAGTCCCAGGATAAGCTCATCTTTTAGTGTGTCAGGCTGGCGATCTCTGAAGATCAGTTTGACATGAGCTCCAACTTCAGACGATTCTCCCTGTTCACCCTTGAAGAGGACAGTTGTGCCAACTGAAAACGTAAATTGGTACTTTTAGATTAAGTTAACAATGCCAGACAGATAAGCTTACATAGAAGCAAAAATGCATATAGGGACTTAAGTTATTTTTTCCATAAACCATTGTCTACCGAAAAGCCTGCCCAACACTCAAAAGGTATTGACAACTTTACGCCTCATATTGGCCGCCTAAAGAAGCCCTAACCCCTGAAAATTACTACTTTTCCTTGCTACCATTCTATATTGTATTTTATTAACTATGCAATTGATTTCTAAAGAAAATTAGTAGAAAGCTACTTTTCTCTAATGTATTTATTACAGACACTGCATTATCCTTTAGGATGGACGGCCAATTCGATGTTGCTGAGTGGCGTTTCAACACATAGCTCTTATATGACAGTCGTTTTTCAGAAAAAAGTTATTATAGTCGACTGCAACGAAGAATTTTTTAAACTGAAAATCCTTAGTATAAATTTATCCTCATTTTTAGCACCTCCAGCTTTTCACTCGGTTAATGGATTTGCTTTAAATTTGTCTTAATAGAGTCAATTTTAGTAATCATTATAGATAAACATAATTTTTTGCCTATTCTATTTTGTATATACGAGAAAAGTGCGGGTTTCGAAGAATTTTAGAAGAAAGGATTGTTGTTAAAACTTTAATTTAGTATGTAAGTGCATGGTTAACAGATTCGTAGGTCATTCTCACCAGAAGACACCAGCTGATTCGCGTTGTACTGCTGCAATTTGGCTCTCATATGACGTTCAGTTTGGTGCGTTCCACGGGTTATCATCCTTCGATTTGGACGAAGACAAGCTGAGCTTTCGTTCGTTATGCCACATGACGAGCATCATGAGAACTGGGACTCATTCTTGCAAAAGTCTTAAGAAAACACTAAGTCATAAAGACTGACCGGCTTCTTACTAAAGGATAAATTTAATAATTGCGAGAATAAGGTCTCACTATAAGTCTTATACCTGTTTATTAACCTTATCATTGAGTAAACAAATCTGAGCAAAAGTTCAATAATAAGGCTACCTAATCTATCGACGAGTAGCGCATACCTCATCTTTAATGCTAGGGTTCAGGAACGGGTACCAGACCGAGCAATGGGACCTTGTTGGGTTCCTATTTTAGCGAATAGTTACATATTAAGGATGAAAAAATGCTGCGTAGAAGAGGTAAGATTGACACCAAAACTGTTAGTTAGATATACGGATGACTACTTTGCCGTATGGCGG